CACTGGTCCAAATAAATAATTTGCCTAATGACAGGAGTGTGTGAAATTGAGGTATGGGCAGTGTGGCAAGGTTATCTGGAGTGACTGTGCTCCACTACTTTGGCTTCTCTACTTTGCACCTAACTCCCATACTATTTGATTATATCTTGTCCTGTGACAGTGACTTATCCTTGGGGTTAATGAAGTGCTTCTGATTATAGTTTAGCAGAGAGCGAAATCCTAGAATGGGGCAGTCCAACAGATTCTGGAGAGGAAGATGTTTGTGACCAACTTCTGCCCACCATTCTGGCTACCCTGGTGAGGGAGCTTCACCGAATTAGAATCTTAGGGCAATTGAATAGTTCAGAAGGGAAACTGCAGATACTTCCTTTAAAAACTGTCTGGTCCAGTTTGTGCTGCCCATCTCAATTTAGAAAAACTGTATTAGATAGCATAATAGTGATTCCTGTACATTTTTATATTTGTCCTTATTCAAGAATTCAGTTAAGTTTTTTTCATTTTAATGATGTTTTTGGTAAGCTCATGATAAATTAAGGGTACAAAGTCTTACCTTTTGAACATTAGTCAGAGACCAGTTGAGTTAACGAGGAGAACATGAACATTTACAGAGCTTGGAGTTAAACCTTTAAGGTTTCTTAAGGTATGCTTTATATGCCATATCTCACTTTATAAACTAGGCCGCACAGGTAGTGTCCTAGTGATGACGTTTTAACCACCAGAACCGTGTCCTCGCCTCACTTCTTCCCATTGTCACTCAACTGCAGGCCTGGACTCCCTCAAGCTCTAACTGGGTAATATACACATGGTGCTTATTTATTTAGCACCTTATACAATCCAACAGGGAGGTGTATTTCCTACCTTTATTTCTTAAAGAAAAGAACAAATAAACTACTTGAAAAGGCCATTTTGTTTAGGTAGTATGCTAAATGAAGTCTAATTCTACAAGTTGACTAGTACAACTCCAAATTAGTGAATAAGGTAGTCTCAGTCTATATAGATTTGTGGGGAGAAATTAGCAGCAAGAGACATATCATACAGATATGCATTGATTTTGGAATAAACTCTGGATTCATGCTCTGCCCTTCACCACTGTCTTTATGTCAAACAGTTTGTCCTCTGCTCACAGTCTTCATGTATGAAGTCGAATACTGCTACCCAATTTATAGGATTGTGGTGAAAATCAAATTATTAATGTATCTGTTCAGTGGTTCTCAGCCTGTGGATTACAACTCCTTTGGCAAACTTCTGTGTCCAACAATATTTACATTATGACTCATAACAGTAGCAAAATGACAGTTATGAAGTAGCAGCAAAAGTAATGTTATGGTTGGGGGCCAGCACAACATGAGGAGCTGTATTAAATCGCCACCGCTTTAGGAAGGCTGAGAAGCACTGAATCGGTGCGCTGGATTGCGTGTTGACTAGGATGACGGCGGCGGGGTGTATTTCCCTACACGGATGATGATGATGATGATGACGGCCATCCAGCCTCCACCAAGAACACAGAGGATCACTGAGATAAAAATGGGGTATTGGTCTACATCTTTCTAAAAGAACACTTATTTATTTGAGTACACTGTAGCTATCTTCAGGCACACCAGAAGAGGGCATCACATGGCTGTGAGCTACCATGTGGTTGCTGGTAATTGAACTCAGTACCTCTGGTAGAGCAGTCAGTGCTCTTAACCACTGAGCCATCTCTCTAGTCCTGTTCTGCATCTTAATATTTTTTTTTTTTTTGGTTTGGTTTTTCGAGACAGGGTTTCTCTGTGTAGCCCTGGCTGTCCTGGAACTCACTCTGTAGACCAGGCTAGCCTCAAACTCTTGAACTCAGAAATCCGCCTGCCTCTGCCTCCCAAGTGCTGGGATTAAAGGCATGCGCCACCACCGCCCGGCTGCATCTTAAATTTTAATTTTTCTTTTTTTAAAAAAATCTTATTTTAAATTTTTAATTATGTTTAATTATGCTAGTTTTGAGCATTAACCTCTAGAAAGAAACTTTCCAATTCATGTCCTGAAGACTGCATTTTGGTCTTAGTGCCACTGGTCATCAAAGCAGACCCACAGAAGCTGCTTGTTTTCATTTGCAGAAATGAATAAAGTACTGTATTTCAGATATCTCAATGGAAGAGAAACTCACTCCTTGATTGGTGTTTCTGTCCATTTAGAGCAGTACTCTTCAGTAGACATGACTGTGATCCACAAATAGGCATGGTGGCTCTAACCTGTAATTCCAGTTGTTCAGGGGCTGAGGCAGGGGAATGACAAGTTTATAGTGTGCCTGAGTCATACAGCAACTCAAGACCACTCTGAGCTGCCGAGAAAACTTTAAACAAAGCTAGGAATACAGTGTGCAATACATACCTACCATAAGCAAAGCCCCTAACCACCACCACCCCTGCAAAGTAGCCCACATGTATAACTGGAGAGGCTGCTCTTCTGTGGGGACTGGGGGGGGGACCTAGATTCTGTCGACAGTACTGACATGGTGGCTCACAACCATCTATAACTCCAGTTCCAGGGCATCTCATGTCTTCCTCTGGCCTCTGAGGTACACAGAGATACATGTAGATAACACACCCGTCTGCACAAAATAGTAAAGATTAGACAGAATATCTCATGGTCACATTTAAAAGGAACAGGTTTAGTATTGAACCCAGTATATCTAAAATAACTGTCATTCCAATGTCATAAATATTATTGGTTATTTTTGTATTAAATGTTTTAAATCTAAAGTGTATTTACAATTACAGCACATCGCAAATTAACCACATTTCAAGTTCTTAGTAACAGCACGTGGCCAGTGACTGTCATTTTGAACAGTCCAGATCTAGACTTTAGATAAGAATTCCTCATCAGCATCCTGGGTGCTGCTGCTGCCTTGTGCTTTGTCCATAAGCAACTCACACACCTTATGTTTAGAACTCTGTGTGCCTTTGGATGCTTCAGCCTGACGTGTCTTTGATCAGATACCTTAGATTGTCATTGGTTTCCCTGAGAGGGTAGGGTAGGGTCTAATCCTCAGAGTCTGTTCTAATGAGGATTTGCTGGGCATGCCGTGTACCTGTTTGGTCAAGGCTGGTAGAAAACCATGGATTACTGAGTTCATTGAGTGAACCACAAGAATCCAAGCAGGATCAGGCTTTGTTAAAACCCTTTTACTCCAATTTCTTATCTGTCTTAAATTTCAGAGTTACCTAGTGACTCTGGGGAAAGAGCACATACCAGGAATTTTCTAAAGGAATTCGGTCTCTCTGTTTTCTGCTCCAGTGTGGCAGCCTTCTCAGAGATTATGTTGACCTTTGAACAAATATTGAGAACCCTTTTGGAATCTGGGTGTGGTGCTTACCTGTAATCCCAGGTTCTTAAGAGATGGAAACAAGAAGATCAAAAATAGTGAATTAGGAGCCAGCCTGGGCTACATGCGGCCCTACATCAAACAGGTTTTAAAATAAACTCTTTAGGGGTCGGTATATCTTGAAGAACAAAACAGATAGTTCTCTAGTTTATATTGGACTAACTTGTATTATCTTAGTTTTAAAACATGCTCTCTGATGTTGTCTTTCATGAACCTAGATTTCAGGAGAATTAAAGTGAGTAGATTCCGACTTTTAATGTCTGGACAAAAGAGAAACAGTATGGGACTGACATGCCCTCATCGAAGGGCACAGAAAGACCTGGTGACTTCAACTTCTTATGAAGCCTGCCCTGTCATTGCATCTACACAACTGCCATACACCAAAGCTCTGTCTCTACCTTCTTAAGGGAGGGAAGATAAGGCCACCACTTATCATTAGCTACAATTTGCATGCTACTTTTTAAGGATGGGGACTTTATGTCATTTATTCCTGCATTGCCAGGTCCTAGTGTAGTGCCTGCCATCGAGTAAATGAACAACTAAACAAAATACGTGATGTTATTTCCAATATTTACCAAGGAATTTTAAAATGAAATGCCTGGCCTTGTTCTTATTGTTGCTCTGGGCAGTGTGCATGATATGCTGAGTTTTCAGACCTAATCTCAGTGGTAGGAATCTTACTGTTTGCTCTTGACCAGTTATTTAGAGAAATGTTTACTTCTCTCGGAGTGTGTGGAATATACAGAGGGAAGGGAGTGCAGTTGTAAAATGGACTGAAGCAGGTACATATCCAGAGAAAATGTGGAATTACATAAAGAAACACTATGGAAAGGGGAGTTACCAGGATAGGGATTGAATTGCAGTTTTATAGTTCAGGTGTTGAGCTGTTGTATAAGACACATTTGGGCAGAGCAGTTGGCTTACAAGATAACAGAGCTGAGGTAAAGATGAAAGGAATTGATGATCACAGAGGTTAGAATTGTTGAGAGGAATGTAGGCTGTGTTCCTGTGTGGCTCTGAACTTGGAGTCTTTAGTTAGAGTCTTTAGTTAAGTTCTAATCACCCTTGCCAGTTCTCGGTCATCTCCAGTTCACCTCTTGGGTCTGTCTTTGTGTCCGTGTCCTATATATACACTGTGCTTTGTGACACGTGACAGCTGTGATGACAAATTCATCCTGTTCTTCAGGTCCAGAAATTCTATGGTAACTGGCGCCTTGTCCCAAGAGCCACTCTGGTGGTATAAGAAATCCAAACATGTTGAAAACTCTGAACGGTTTTGTTCTGGGCTGTATGTTAAACATGAGGCCTCATAGACAATACACTTTATCAGTGAGCTACATGTGCAGCCCCTCAAGTTTTATTGAGAACTGTTTATATTGCATGCAAATAAACTATTAGTGAAGGAAATAAAAGCAAAATTAACAATTTTTACTTTTCTCTATCCTGCTTTTTAAGTAAGAAAGACCCTTTTCTGTAGAATACACATTTTTGATATGAGTAAAGTATATTTAGTTTATAAATATATTAATAGAAACAATAAGTAATTGAGATTTTCTTTTGATATTGTGGCAGTGGGCTTTTATTTTTGGAAGTTTAATTCTAGAAGTTTGTCATTTTAACCTGCTCTCTTGTCTCTTCCTAGTCTGTAAGACCTGTATTGTCCAGCACTTTGAAGACAGCAATGATTGTCCAAGGTGTGGCAACCAAGTTCATGAAACAAATCCATTAGAAATGTTAAGGTAAAGAAATATATTTCATATTTGTCTGATCTTAATTAATTGTATACATTTAAAATCTTAATCATTTATTATGCTATTTGAACATATTTTATGTCTTAGGCATTTACAGTCCTTGTAAAGCATTTCGTTTCATTTTTAAATCTTTTAATAAAAGTTTTAAATAAGATTACATAATATTTAGGAAATGTATCTGCAGTTAAAATGACAACTTTCTCTTGGGATTCTCAGAGTAACTTCAGTTATTTTCAGATGGAGGTGAACTAGGTTGTATAAATGTATTAAGATAAAATTATCAGGAAGGTAATAGTAGGAAAAAATGTGTTCTGGGAAAAAAGAGATTGACAGGTGATGGGACAGAAGAAGGAAGGATGATGTGAGGTGATTACGGAGGGAGAGATGGGAGACAGACTGAGAAGTTGCTCTCATAAGGCTGGTGAGAGGAGGGGTTCGTGCTTTCCCTTGGAGCCTATTTGGGAGTGTTGTAGTACCATCAGAACTCTAAGAAAGTGAGACACCGGGGGCGGGGGCTCGTTCTGCACCACGCTGGAGGGATCGATGAGACAGTCTTGACATAAATGGGCAAAAGGAGCTGGCTGAGTTGTTCAGCATCTCTTGGAAATGTAAAACTAGAGCTAAGGTGTGAGACAGAGGTAACTGCCCACATGCTGGGTTTCAAACTATCAAACTAGATGAGGACCCTGGAAATATGGCCCATGGAAAAACTTAAAGAAGTTGGGGTAAGGAGAGCAACAGGAAGTACTCAGCCCTCCATCCCTGGACTCTGTTTCCAGTGGATTTGACCAACCATCCATCAGATACATTTGCAAGAAAAATTGCTTCTGTACTGAACGTTTAAGTGTCATTATTCCCCAAACAATAAAATACATTAACTGTTGTGCTCACATTGGATTACTATATGTAGTCATACAGTGAAGTTTCTATGAAGAACTTGACCATCCAGATTTGATATCTGTGAAGAAACCTGGAACCTGCTCCCCAACACTGGGGTCTGAATTTAGTTGGATAAAAAAACTATTTAGGCACATAGAGGGAAAAATTAAAGGAGGGAAATCTCAGGGCATTAGTGTTACATCATGCTGCCAGATTGCTGCTAAACTATACTGGTCCTAGGGACTAATTAATTAATGGGACGTTCAGGAAGGTAAAAGTAGCAAGTAACAGTGTATAACAGAAATAACAAACTATGCTTTTCAAAACATTTCAGGTTGAAAGAAGATTAAGGAAGAGAGAGAGAGAGAGAGAGAGAGAGAGAGAGAGAGAGAGAGAGAGAATATGTATGTATGTATGTATGTATGTATGTATGTATGTATGTATGTCTACAACAGGTATGTGTAGAATCCAGAAAAAGGCATTAGATCTGGAGTTAGACTTACGGGCAGTTGTGAGCCATCCAGCTTGGGTGTTGGGAACTGATATCCAGTGCGCTGCAAGAGCAGCGAGTATTGTTGACTGCTGAGCCACCTTTCCACCTCCAGCCATAGCTTTACAAGACACTTAAGGAGAAGGCTTTGCCCGTTTAGATGGTTGATGTCAGAGAGCAGTGTTGTTAGCAGGATGAAGCTGAGCAAGAGCAGGTGTTGTAGAAAAGCAAAAGAATGAGCTGAGGAAACAAAGTCAGGAAAAGAACGTAAGACAAATGCCAAGATGAATGCGCTTTTATCTATGGAGCTAGAATGGCCAAACTGACTAATTTCTCAGAAGATGAAGTGGAGAGCATTCGATTTTAGAAAAGGATAGGAACTGTCGGGATTTGAAGAGTGGGACCGTTAGCTGTTGCTGCATGACAAGGCACGCCTGAGTTAATGCTTCATGCAGGCACCCCTCCCTCTTCACTTTGCTGTGGCTGATGAGCAGGCTGGCCTTAGCTCTGCTCACTCCTGCAGCAGGAGTTAACTAACTACTATGTCCTGCCACGTGTTGGGATGGACTGACACTGGAGTGACCTAGGGCCGCCTCAGCCAGGCAGTGGAGCTCTGCCCTAGCTGGTCTACATGGAGCACAGAAATGCAGTGCCCTTAAGACCTAGGCTAGGTCCAAGCTCAGTGTCATTTGTCCGACACTCTCCTTTGGTCTAAGCAGTTTTCCAGGGTAGTCCTTATTCTCGGGATTGGGAGTTCTCAGAGCTGAGATTCACCTCTTAAACAAGGGAAGGATGCCAGAGGCGGAGAGTGTACATCTACAGAAGGCTGGGAACTTTGGGACTATTTTTCCCCGTTTAGTATACCACCAGAGGAGGGCTTCTAGAAGTACATGTCCTCTGTGTGCAGGCAACAGTGCTGTAGTGAATACACTAAAATCATCTGCCTATATTTCATAATATGTGTAAGAAATCTAGAATTGTTTGCATATTGAGTTTTGATATCTTCATTGTTTATCCCCACTGCCTAACCCTTGAAGGCTGGATAACACATTGGAGGAAATTATATTTAAGCTGGTGCCTGGGCTACGAGAACGTAAGTTCCCTTTGGGTTCTACAAACTTCTTGGTTTTTTTGTGTTTTGTATTTCCATTAAAGGTTTCATATTCCTATAGTTTTCATATTTTTTTCCTTCAAATTAGAAGAACTTCAGCGTGAGTTGGAATTTTGGAAGAAAAATAAACCTCAAGAAAATGGGCAAGGTAACTCTATGTGTTTCTGACACCTTCTCTCATTGTTCTGGTTTTTGTTATGTTGGTAAAGTCTTTCCACGCTCACAGTTTTCCTGTGCAGGACTCATGCAGCCCTACATGAGATTTTATCTAAATTTATGCAGAACTGCATGTCTCCTCTTGAAAGTAATTGGACAGAGGAAATTGGACTTTGGGAAGAAAAGGAAAGAGAAAACTGAATAGATAGTAATAGCAATAGTTTCAGAACAGAAAGAGGTCTGAAGTAAGAAACAATCCTAGTGTATACCGCAATCATGAGAGCATTTCAATTTTCCCTCACTTCTAATGGCACTTTAATAGAAGACAGAAGTGCGTTGTGGCTGAGAGCCAAGTCAGGATGTGTTGTGCTCTGACAATCTTAAGGGAACACAGGTGGATGCCGCTGGCTCAGGCTTAGGTTGGATCTGTTAGCAAGTGTCTTGTCTCTGTACTCATCAAGAAGTTCCCATCACCAGGTCCCTTATCCAGGTTTCTACTCAGGGACCCAGGTAATAGTTAATAATTTCAGCAGGGCCGGGAGGGAGGGAGACAGACACAGAGAGGGTAGAAAAAAGGAAGGAGAGAGAGAAAGCACATTGAGTTAAATACTTGCCTCAAAAGCACAAGGACCTGAGTTTGATCCCAAGAAGTCACATAAAAAAGTGAGGCATGGGCCAGCAAGATGCTCAGTGAGTAGAAGTGTTTGCAGACTCTTTGGTCCCGCAGTCCCTTAAGATGACAAAAGAAAACTGACTTCAGAGATTTGTCCTGTGACATACACATATGTACCTGCACACACAGTTTTTATGTAAGCCCTGGGAAGGCAGAGATAGGCTGGTCTCTGGGGCTGCTGGACATCCAGCCCAATCTAATAGGTGAGTTCCAGGCCATCGAGAAGCCCCACCTCAAAAACACAGGGTAGATAGCACTTGAGGAAGACCATTCAGGATTGACTCCTGGCTCCATGAACACGTGCACATACATGCACACATTTACACACAGTAACAACAATAATTTCAGCAAAGTGGAACATATTAGTAGCCAGAGAGTGAGCTGTTAGTATGTATAGTATCCACAAAAGGGATATCTAATTATAAAGTAATATCATTCTTCATGTTTTGACACAGACCTCATTCAGGATTCTAAAATCAAAGTGGCCTCTGTGCATATGTGAACTTAGTCTCCCAGAATGATTTCTTTTATAAAGTCGTGGAATTCTCATAAAGTCTCATAAAATCAATGCCATTTAAGATGGATGAGGAAATGCTGGATCTCCTTTTTCTCACGTATATTGGGGATAATAGCTTTAGTAGTTAGACTTAAATCGTAGAGGGGAAAGCTTTTCATTGATCTAGGCGTTTGGTTCATAAAAGACAGTGTCTGTCCATGGGTTCTGTGTAAGTGATGGTGCGGAAAGGAGCCATTTGCCCACTCTTGTTAGGTACGGTGTAAGGCTTTCACTATCTTGAACAAGGATAGCCTTTCATTGGTAGGGGAGCTTTATAATGTACTCCTTGGCTAGCTGATTTTCATATTTGGCTTAGGTAGATAGATTTCATGTGAAAAGAGTCCCAAATCTTAGTCACATGTTTCATTTACCCTTCATCCTCTTCTTGCCCTTTTTACCTTTCCTGCGCCCTGGCACTGTAATGAGGAGGGTAGTAAGTGACTCTTCGTATTTGTTACTTTCTCATTTCTGTGTCAAAATACTTGACAAGAAGCAACCAGGAGGGAATGAAAAGGGACGGAAAAAGGAAATTGATTACTCTGGCTGACAGTTCAGGGGTACTGCCATGACAGGGCAGGCATGGGAGCAAGACCAGGAGGCCAGGGTCACATTGAATCCATTGTCACAAAGAAGACACCAGGAAGTGGAGCTGGGCAATAAAACCTCAAGACCCACTCCCAGTGACCCACTTACTCCAGCAAGGCTCTCCCTCGTAAAGGCTTCATAACCTCCCAAACAGCACCACCATTGAAGCACAATGAGCCTGTTGGGGGGATGTATTTCCTGTTCTGTCTCCATGCCCTTTAGTTGTGTTATTGATACCTCAGACTAAGCACACTGCATATCTAACACAGTGTTCAAGGTATTCCATAAATACATCAATCAATACAGTTGTATTCATGTAATCTTTTAAATAAATTTTGTTATATGAGGTATATTCAAATTTTCTTAATGGAATTTTTAACACGTTAAGTGGCTACAAAGCATGTTTTAAAAATCTAATTATTTTTTCTTGTAGTTGGTTTTATAAATAATTTGAAATTCTGAGAACTTAGAATGCCAACTTGGTTTTAATTTGAACACATCTGTTATTGAATTAGGAAGAAGTTTGTATCCTATTTGCCTTCTAAAGTGACCTAACCACTAATTGCAGGTTTTGTGACCAAATGTAGTTAATCCAGAATCTTACACTGTGCATTAACAAGAGTGAGAAGATGGCTCGCTCTTGTCCCACATTTACACTGATCGCATGTACAGACACTGACTTTTATAAACCAAACACCTAGCTCAATGAAACACACCCCAAATTAAAGACCAAATCCAAAATATTTTGAAAGGATAAAATAGGAAAAAGAAGATACAATTCATAAACCAGGATATACAAAGTGTCTGTATAAGCCTAGAAATGTTACACGTTTTAAGTTTCTAATGGCCTTTGATTAATATTCCATCGTTGAGTTTGTTGAAGGGTTTCAAAAAGTATTAATATTTTTAGTTAGTCTTCAGAGAAGTTATGAAATATTTTAGGTTATTGTTTTGGTGAGTGGCATATTGTTGCTAAACTTTAAACTTTGGGTTACATGAGTCTTGCTTCAATTATATAGATGACATTTCGAAGGTTGACAAATCTAGAGAAGATGAAGAAGGTGATGAAAACCAAGATGATAAGGACTATCATAGAAGTGACCCACAAATTGCTATCTGTCTGGACTGTTTACGAAATAATGGGCAGTCGGGGGACAACGTAGTGAAGGTGAGTGGGCAGAAGTCATTTCTTTCACCTTTTTGTTGTTGTTGTTGTTGTTAATGTAATACATTCTGTAAAATTCCAAATCTGGGACTAGCCAAACCCTTGTTTTCCAGGTACCTTAGCTGCCCACCCTAGCCATCCCAGGCCAATGCTACCATCTAGTGGCTAATTTTTAAAATGGAGCAGCCAAACCTGATTCTATTTAAGCAGTGTTTCCAACCTTTTTATTAATTATCTTTAAATTTATTCTTTTTAAAGGTTAGTTTTATTTTATATGTGTAGGTGGTTTACCTGCATGTATTCCTGTGCATCGTGTATGCCTGATGCCAACAGAAACCAGCAGAGGGTGTTGGAACAGGTGGTTGTGAGCCATGCTGTGGGTGCTGGGAATTGAACCTGAGTCTCTGTGCAAGAGTGCTGGTGCTTTTACCACTGAAACATCTCTCCAGTCCTAACCTAACCTAAATCATATTCTGCAGTCTTCTAATTGTATTTAAAGATTGAAGGTATTGGTTTTCTCTGAACTTTGTTTTATGCACAAGCTGATATTTATTTTTTGTTTCTAATTTTCTTCATCTGTGCTAATCTATAGGCCTTTTGGGTTGAATTTCTTTGCTATTACTAATAATGGTGCTTTATATTGGGGAATTAAAAACATAATTTTAACATAGATTTTCGTTTTATGAGCGTCTTGCAGCAGTGAATATATTTGAGCGTAGTAAGCAAATGAATTTATTATGTGGTAATTATATAATTAAGTAAGAAAAGACCTGTCCTTTGAGACACGTGAGCAGTTGCTAGATGGGGTGTAGGAACAGGGAATATGAAGTAACTGCTAACTGCTTGTATGTAAAGGATTTCTTTGGAGGACAAGGAAAATTTTGGAATTGGATATTGTAATTGTTGAACAACTGTATAAAAACTACTATTGTTCACTTAGACAGTGACTTTATGGTATTATATTTCAATTTAAGAAGTTAAAATCATGCTTGTCAATTACTCTACTTGGTAGAGGTTAAATCATAATACTAAACACAAAACTGAAGAATCATTAAGTTGTATCCTGGAACAGCAGGCCCCTCTGAGCTTACAGGAGTGACCACTGCAGATTTTGTATTTGGTCTTTTAACTCTTCAGAACCAGAGGAAAACAGGATCGGGCTTTTATTTTATCTTCTGACAACTCTTTTTTTTTTAAGATTTATTTATTTATTTTATTCATGAGTACACTGTCGCTGTCTTCGGACACACCAGAATAGGGCATCCAATCTCATTACGAATGGCTGTGAGCCACCATGTGGTTGCTGGGATTTGAACTCGGGACCTCTGGAAGAGCAGTCAGTGCTCTTAACCGCTGAGCCATCTCTCCAGCCCCTTCTGACAACTCTTCATCACTTCTGCCTCTGAAGTTGTGAGTTTGGGCACTTCAGACATGTGCACTCTCACATCGTGACCCCAGGCAAGCAGCTTAGGAAGGAGGCAGTTCTAAATTCTATACCTTTGAAGTTGGACAGCAGGACAGACACAGGGTATTGTGCCATAGGGAAGGGAAGGTAACATTCTGGAAGCCAAAGTCTTCTTACATACAGTATTTCTTCAGATATGCAGATATACCAGACATCTGAGCAAGGTCGGGTTAGACACAGACTCCCCCAGGCAGCTCTTGTGAGCCCCTGGTGTGCACCACAATGCTTCCATTTTCCCTATCATGATGAGAGGAAGCTCTGCTCCTACTTCCTCTCCACCATCCTGTCTCCTACCCAGCCCCTGCCTGTCGTCACCGTCTTTCTAGCTGGCTGTACAGTAAGTAGTTCTCAGGTGCACACAGCCAGGAAGCATAGTAAATTTCATTTGGTTTTATTATAAAGTATTCTGGGAGAAAGTGTTCATTTTTATATTCTAAGTATTTCCAAATCAACTTTTACATAATACAGATTAGAATTTTTGTTAGATTTGTGTCAGACTATTGAATTATGAATTCTAGAAACACTCTTTTGTCATGTCCTGAAAATGTTCCCTTAACTATTTTGACAACTCTGAATAATTAATAACTTGTGGGAGGCTGTGCAGGTCAGGGAGGAGGAGCTCTGTTCAAGCTTGAAGAGTGAATCATGGGGCTGGAGTGATGACTCAGAGCTTTAGAGCACTGACTGTTCTTTCAGAGGTCCTGAGTTCAATTCCCAGCAACCACATGGGGCCTCACAACCATCTGTAATGAGATCTGGTGACGTCTTCTGGTGTGCAGGCATACATGTATACAGAACATTGTATACATAATAAATAAATAAGTAAATCTTTTTTTAAAAAGTGAATCAGAAGTACTGTCTTCATGTAAAACGAGACACATCAAGTCCTACAGAACTAAGCACAGTGACATGCAGTAACCTGTCCCTGGGGATGCTTTTTCCTCAGCCCAGAGCCCACACTGCACAGCTTGCAGGTGCTAAGGTGGCGGGCTGTGCGTGGAAGAGATGCCTTTCTGCAGTACCCAGAGCTCTCCCAAGTCTTATGTCACACTGCTGCTGTCTCTGAAGTCATTTATAGGTTCTCCATCATCCTTAACAAGTGCCTCTCCTGCTTCCAGAAGTAACAGCATTTCATAAAAGACCAATATTTTGTGTCCTTTTACTTAAATTCTGCTTTCTTTATAGGGAAAAAAGCATGTTAGAGAAAAACAGATTGCTTACTTGACAGGGTTTTGCTAATTCACATACTAGAATGACATTCTTGAAGAATGTCATGTAAATAATAGACTGTAATTAAGTACATTTTACTTATGAGAATTGAAAGGTTTTGTTTTACATTTAGAAAATACTCTATAGTGAAAACCATGCCATTGGCTTTGGTTTGGATTAGTTGGTTTGAATTTGGTTTGGTTTAGTTGATTTGGGGTAGGGTTGCCTTAGTTTAGTTGGTTTGAGGTGGGTTTGGCTTAGTTTAGTTGGTTTGGGTGGGTTGGGTTGGTTTCATTGATTTGGGTTGGGGTTGGTTTAGTTTAGTTGGTTTGGGGTGGTCTAATGAGACTGTCTCACTTTGCAACCAAGTGGAATCAAAGTCAGATCCTGCCCCCTCCTTCTGAATGTTGGGATTGCAAGTATATGCCTCCATGTCTGGAAGGGCTGAAGGTTTCAGTAAAAACAAATGAGAGTCTTTAATTTGTCAATTTGTTTCTATTAGGGTCTCATGAAAAAATTCATTCGCTGTTCTACACGAGTTACTGTAGGAACTATTAAAAAGTTTCTAAGCTTAAAACTAAAACTTCCAAGTTCTTATGAGGTAAGTAAAATCAAATCTAATTGTGATTTTGATGATTCTGATCTGTAGCAAAATTCTAGCAAAAGAAGTAAAATAAGAATATATTCAAGCTAATTTTTATAGAAAATGTTTATTTTCATGTTTAAAAATTAATTTTTTGAATGTAAAATTTATGTAACATTTCATAAGATATCCCATGTTCACATTGATGCATTTGTAATTAAAGGAGATGTTTTTAAAATTTGTTTTAATACTCACAAAGTACGTCTAGCTAAGTGAGCTCTTTGTTTTTTACAATGTCAATATGCTTTAAGATATGTCACTTCTTAAATGTTCGTTTTAATGTGTGATGGATTGATACATTTATCCAGTGAGTTTGAGTTGCTTTCCCGCCCCCTCCCTCTCATCACCCACTCTGGTTGGAACCCTTCTCAGTGCTCCTACCTCTGAACCTTTTTTTGTTTCTGGTTCACTGAGTTTTGTAAGGGTTTCTTACCTGAGCCTGAATAAGAGGTTATTTACTGGATGAAGGACAGCTTAAATTGGCTACAGCACCTCTTTCCCATGCAGCCATTATTGCCAATAGTCATCCAGCATTCGATGGGGCTTCATGGACCCTCTCCCAGCTATGATGAAATGTTGCTCTGCTCAGCCTTGTACAAGTCTTGCGTGGATAACTGCAGCTGCAGGAAGTGCATTTGTGCAGTGGCTATGTCATATCCAGGCAATTTCTTTTTGCTGCCCACCTCTCCATCCTCTGGTTCTTAAAGTCTTTCTGTCTACTTTTCTGTGATGTCCCCTGAGCCTTGGAAGATACAGCACAAATCTCAAGGGGCAAACAGGAGATGGATCCAAAGTATGGGGAGACTCCCAGTTACCCAGGGATGAGCTGGAGCCGAGTCAAAGTACAGGCACTCTCTGTGGATGTATGGGTTTTCACGAGAAGTGAAGTGTGAGGAGATTTAAGCCCTCACAGACAGGTGTCTGCATCTAAGGAAGCATCTAATCTTGAGCCTAATGGAAATGTCTCGTGTGACTGATGACTAGTTTGGGTTAACTTGTTTTATTAGTTCAGGTCTACAGTTTTTAAAAACTTTTAGCTACAAGACTGGAGAGATGGCTCAGTGGTTAACAGCACTGGCTGCTCTTCCAGGTGACCAGTGTTCAAGTCCCAACACTCACATGGTAGCTCACAACTGACTGTATGTAATTCAGCTCCAAGCAATTTGCACCTTCACGCAGACAAAACATACAGGCAAAACACCAGTGCACAAAAATAAAAACTAATAAATCATTTTAAATTTTCAGATACATAGTATTTGTATTAGGAAAAAACTGAAAGTGTCAGCCCACCTGTATTTGGTAAACATAAAAGATATCTTCTAAATAACATCTATAGTGAGAAATAGACAATGGCATTTTGTACTGTCTGGTTTCCTTACTTTGTTTTTTTCATGCAAAAATACCATGCATAGTTTTACTTTAAAGTCTGGTTTGCTAAGTTAATTTTCTTGTCTTCCGGAAGTTACCAAAGCTAAGAAAACAGTTCTCTGTCTTACTCCTGCCATGTACTATGGTCCTTTTTAAACAATTCCTCGTCTATCCCAATTAAAGAACTTGTACTTTGCTTTCTTCATGAGATATGGATTGGTCTCCCATTATTTTGCTGTTCAGTGTATAGGAGTGTGATTTAATGAAACATCTGAAATTGCAAGAGAATGAAACAGCATTGCTAATTGGGACTGGGTGCTTAAGTTGCTAATGACTGTGGATGCAGCCTGCCTGGTTAGTAATTGCACCTTTACAGCTTAGCTTATGTATTTGGTTTACAGACAAGAGAAAAAAGGAGTTGTCTACTTTTAAAATAAATAAAATAACTGAAAAAGTTCAAAGTTTATATATCACCATAAATTGTTAAAATATCAATAGTTAATATATCTGATATAATTTGGGCTATATTTTGTATTAGACTTCAAGTTCAAAATTATAGTCTATGTCAAGATAGATACGTATGTATTTAAAACTCATTTTCTCCTCCACCCTTGAAATAAAATCTGAACCAGTTTCTTTTGCTAGAAACTAGAGGACTGATTTATAGGGATCTTTGATACAACGTTCTTTATGTATGCTTTGTTGCATTAGTGAACCACAGACAAAGTTTTTATGGCCTTTTGAAGCTTTTTTTGGTTTCCTAAAGCCTAGAACAAAAGGGAGACTTTGCGGTACAGTTTATTTTGATATTTCATACAAGTATCCACATGCACAGAGGCCAGATAACCCTGAACACACAGATCTGTGCCGTAGTTCCAATGCCCTATTTCTTTGATCCCAAACTAAGAAGGTAAAACTCTTCTTCATCTTGAACTTCAGAGGATTCTGAGATGAGGATTTAGAATGAGCTGACTACACTCTTCTTCTCCTTCAGTAAGAGTGGTCTCCGCATATGTCTAAAACCTGTAGAGTTGCAGAAACATGAATCAGGATAGTTAGCATTGCATTTATAAATTGTGTATTAACTTGAGGTACAGTCGTGTGGTACAAGATAAATGCTGTTTCTTGTTTCATCTGAACTTCTGACAGTCTTTGACAAGATGGGTTTAATAAAAATATTCAGTGTTCTTATAAAATTGATACTTTTATGTTGGATCTTTTAAAATTTGAAAATGTATAAAAATGTATAAGTTCAAGTTTTCTCTGCATTAATATATTTTAATTATTTTTTTAAAGTTGGATGTGCTGTGCAATGGTGAAATTATGGGAAAGGATCATACTATGGAATTCATCTACATGACAAGATGGCGACTAAGAGGAGAAAATGTAAATTGCTTTTATATTTGCCTATGTGTATATTTAATTATAGTTTATTATATAATTCAGATTGAACAGTATTATTTAGGAGCATTAAGAAATTAGAAGCATTAGTTTGGGAAAGAGAAGAAACGAGTTCTTCTTTATTCTCCAGCACTTAAAAACCCACCCAAGTACAAGACCAATATCTATGTTAAATATTTTGAAGGTGAGTTTTTAAGTCCAGCTGTAAGCATGTCCAGGATTCTGCTAGCCTGAGAGCAGGGGAGGCATGTGTGTACTTCAGGCTTAGTGTCTGCTACAGTGGGAAAATGGGAAGTGGGGTCAGGTAGATGCCATGCTGCCTGGAGAGCAGACAGCACCAGCGGGTGCAGTAGAGGGAAGGACAGTTGGGTCAGGGAGGGATTGCATGATCCATCACTAACAGGTAATGGCAGGCTCGAGGGAAAGGGACAGAGTGGGGGGTCTCTGCTGCCGTAAGTAGATTACTCTGCCTTAGGCTTTGGTGATGAGGGAGAAAATGTTCACAGGAGAAAAACTAACTCTTAAGCCTGAAGTGTTTCATATGCCAGGTGGACACTCCAAAGGGTAAGTCTGCAGTTAGAAAGCAGATACTCTAATTCTACAGTAACATTATTGCAGTAAATGTCATTGTGTCTTTCCTTGCTAGTTCAGTGGGCATGTGAGTGCTGGACCTCATCATTTGTGGATAGACCAGCCTAAAGGTTTAAGGTCATTCACTGGTAGCCTTCTCCTAGGGCTCTTGTCACAGGCGCTCCCCTGAAAGCTGCCCATGGTGTTCGTTTGCATGTATCTGGATGGGGGAGTGTTTTTAAAGGAAGATTTTATTATTATTTAGCCCAGGCTGGCCTGGGCTCACTGTAGCACAGACTGGCCTGAGACTAATATTCTTCTGCCTCAGCCTCATTAGAAGTATGGGCCAAGAAGCTTGGAATTGCCAATTATCTTAATAATTGGCAATTTAATAATTTCAAAGCATGAAAGGTTATTTGTATAAACTTTCTACTAACAAAATGCTAATTAAATCAGTCTTTATGCAGTTACATTTCTGAGGACACATTTCTGAAGTTTCAAGTTTTAGGTTGAGATATACTTGTATTAAAGTTTTTAAAATGGGGCCTGAAGGTGGTTTGTACTTCTCTAATCCTGTTTTTTGCTAGTGCTCCCTGTCTGTAGTTTTGGATTAGTCACCGCATCCACACCAGAAGGAGGCTAGCATGTCTACAAAGTCAGTACTCCACTGCGGTGTTGCTAACTCGCTTAGCCCTGAGGTGGTCTCAGCTCGCTCCCGCTCTGATAGTTACTGTATGTTCTCTTACTTGCTTCTAGTACTCTGGTATAGTAAGCACTATAGATGCATATGTATATATATACATCTATGGATATTTTTGGACACTCTTTTTAACAGGTATTATTCTGAACTGTACATAATGCAACTTTTATAAAACTCCTGTGTAAAACCTTTCTTTCAATTGTCCATTTTCTTTGAAGTCCTAATATGTCTTCTATAAGGCCAATAGTTGGGCCTTCTAAATTGCTTTATAATGTATATTTGTACCAATGAGACAAAAAGTCGATTTTTAAAATCATGTTGCATTGCTTTACCTGTCTCTCAGATGGGCTTCTGAATGGGTTTGTGATGGGCACTGGGCTGTATTTCTGGGTTGCTTTGGCTGTACTTGGCAGCTTTGCAGATTTTCATTCTCATCAGTGTTGTGGGATGTCAACTTATGAATTCTGCACTCGGTCAAGTCTGTGACTCAGAGTAGCTTCCATTACTTTCACCCTGGAGGAATGACAGTCCTGAGTCTCCATCTGAGTCCACGGCCTCAGGCAAGGGCACTCCATGTGTGTGTCCCTCCCTTGTGACGTCTGCTGTCTCTCAGGACAGTCTGGGGGAAGAAAGTTTCTGTCTAGTTCTTCAGTGCTGGAGTATCCCTCTGCACCATCCAGCTTCTGTGGACATGCTGCCCTTTTCCCAGGTCACTCCCCCTTGAACATAGTTGGCTTCTGCCCATTCTAAACCTTGTCTCAGTCATGATAAATTATTTTTAAATCTTTATCCTTATGAATTAAAACAAATACCTGGTCATACAGCTGCTATACATTTTTATAGTTCATAACAGTATTTTTGCTTGAAGGTTGCTATACTGAATGTTGGAGTAGATCTGTTGTTCACTAGTAGTGGAAATATATAACAGTAGTACTTCTTAAGTCTTAGTGCAAATACAGATGATCTAGGGATTGTGGCAAAGTACAGTTCTACTCAGTTGGCTTGGGGCAGGCCTTGACTCATTTCTAAAAAGCTCCATTCCTGTGTGAACACCTCTGATGTTTAAGGTTTTGGAAGATGAGATCTGTGACCAGGTTTCTTCTGTGGCTTCTAAAAGTCGAGTGTGTGGAACGTACTTATGTTTCAGTCAGTGGGTAACTCAGTCATCTGATGTTAAGTCAGTCTAGTATCTCTTCATAGTGCCAAGCCAGTGGGCCTGGAAGTTTTCTGAGATACACATGGAATCATATATACTGCTAGCAACTTTATTCTCATTTGATAATATATATTACAAAAAGCAATTACATTTTAAAGTTATTCTTTTTAATATATTGGTACAATTCAGTTTGCATGGTCATTGAGGTTTTGTTTAATCTTTAACAATACAAGCAGTGCTCTAGCTATTCCAAGGCGTGGACTTTGCAAATGCACAAGCATATTTATTGCCTAGATTGCTGGCTTTACAATGGACTAAAGTTTTACATTGTGAGACGTGGTCAATTGTCCTCAAAAAAGGCTTCATAAGTTATAGTCATATCACACAAGAGGGCCCATTTTCTGACTTCTTGACATTCGTATTAACAATATAACGTCTCTGTGTGTGTTCGTATTCATTACCCTATTAATAATGAGTTTGTCTTTTCTTGTTGACTTGTAGAAAGTGTTCGTGTGTTCTGAACACTACCGTCTTACTATATATATATATATATATATATATATATATATATATATATACATACAGTAGCTTTTCTTTTCTATCACCTATGTTCTGCCTCCCATTTTTTCTTGTTTTGGGGATCCTTAAAATTGTGATAGTACTGTGGAGGAAAAATTAGCAAGAATAGTATACAGCTAAAGTACTTAGCAGGATGTCTAATCTGATAAATGAAAGAAAGTAACAGTGTCTGTTAAGCTGCATTGGGACGACAGTCCACTTGCTCACACTTAGAAAAAGTTATTGTCAGCAGCTTTCTGCTCGGCCTCAGCCTTGTTCCCTGCGGGCCATGTTCTTCCTGCCCACCTCCCTGTGGGTAGGTCGAATACCCTCAGTCTAGCTAGCTGCCTTTGCCCGGTGCTCCTTGCTGCTTCCACCTCTTCCTCCAGCCACAGCCACACTCCAGCACCCTTCCTGCCTCTCACTGCTTGATTTACAATCTCTGGCAGTCTTAGGGATACAAGCAAACACATCTATTTTGACTGGTACCGAAGAAACTAATAGAAAAATTAATGAAATCACTTCTTTCCACTTAAATCTGTATTTTTATTAAATAATTTTTGCAGATTGCATAGTCAGACAAAGTGTGGCAGGTTAGAGCTTGGGGCTGCATCTGAGTCAGTAAAGGACATCAGTGCTAGGCTGCCTGGGAGCGTGGTGATGAGCACTGTGCAAGATCAAGGACCAGCTTCCAGAGAGAAAACTCAGGAATATTTGTAAAAATCTTCTAAAGTAGACCCGTAAAAAGTCTCCTTTGGGAAGTTAAAATTTTCCTGATTAATTTAAACTATTGTTTTTGAGATTTTTTTAAACTTGTTTTATACAATTTTCTATCTGCATGTACACCTGTGTGCCAGAAGAGGGCATCAGATCCCAGTGTAGATGGTTGTGAGCCACCATGTGGTTGCTGGGAATTGAGCAGGAACTCTGAAGAGCAGTCAGTTCTCTTAGCCACCTCTCCAGTCCTTCAACTTATATTTTTATGTATTCAAGTTTTCACCTATTTATACATTTATTTTTTGCATTTGGAAGAGTATGCAGCGTTAAATATGTGAATAACTTAAAGTAAAACTTGTACAGCTATTAAGACTGCAAACATGAGTATCAAACAGACTCAGGAAGCTCATTAGTGCTATTAAAACGGGCATGGAGACTAAGAATCTAGCCTGAGCAATATGGAGGTAAAAGAACAATGGACCAGTCCTTTAGGTTAACAAAGTTCTGCGTCCACTCAGAGCTCTGATCTTCAATAACTGTGCTCTCAGAGTAGATGAATGGGATAAACTGACCTGAGGAACAAGTAGAAGAAAGATGGTGCCTCCTCTGTACTAAACGGGAAAAGATGATGATAGCTTCTATACTAAGAGATGAGAAACTAGCATTCGGAAATGAAATGAAAAAGATAGGATACCATCTTGGTAGTTTTAGAATATTAAAAACAAATAAAAAACCTTCAGAGATAAATGCTAAAGTTACTTAACACTAAAATTTACCAGTCACCAAGTTATTAAATATTTCCCCTCTAAAAAACCCTACCATTCCTCAGTGTTTATTTAAATTACTCATGTTGGCACTTCCGTTTGAGTTCAACTACTTTAAATAACAAGTTTAAATGTGTCCCGTTGTGGATGCCTCTTATCTGATGGGTTCATCTCCTCCGCAGTTTTGCTGTCTGAACTGTTGAGCCTCACAAGTCTGCTCTCAGGATGGCACTTTGTACCAGGTAAGAGGCACTCATGACGGGACGAAGGCCATCCCAGTGCCCTATGCTGACCACTCCTATCCCAGACTCAAGTTCTCAGATACGGCCGTCACTTTATAAAAACAGTTTTTAAAATCTTTTCAAACTTAACAAAAGTTCCCTATTATTTTAGTTCTCCCAAGTTAACCATTTTACTGAACAAAGAATAAAATTATGTCTTAACTATTATTTATGAGTCCAGAATTTTTAATGCTTATTCGTTTTAGCCCTTGAGACATCGCTAATCTTTAGCCTTGAGATGACATGTCAAATTGAATGACTGTAAATAGGAGGTCTGGAGCTGGCAGCTGTGCCCAGCCAGCCCTAGCTGCTCCTGGGGACACAGGCGTGACTGTGAGATCACGTAGTAGCACAGGGAGTTTCGACTTGTGTCTAAGGAAAGCTTGTCTAATAAAAACACACTTTAGAAATTTGGAAAATGGGCTAAAGAGATGACTCTGCAGTCAAAAACTACTCTTCAAGTCCCAGCACCCACATCAGCTGGCTCCTAATTGCCTGTAACTCCAGTTCCAGGGCCCCACAGACACCCCCACTAATGTGTGCATGCCCACACATGTTGAAAAATAAATATTTTTTAAAAAAATAAGAGTCTGATGCAGTGTAGTAAAGCATTACTTTATTACTAAGTCCAGAGATAACGTATCCAGTCTTAATCTCATAAATGAGTCATAGTAATTTTTAAAAAGTAATCTTTCCCCCAATAATTAAAATTACCCATCTAGTTTCTAGTAGTCAGTAACTAATAAACTTTAGTATTCCAGTTTCCAGGTTGAGACTAATTAGTTTACATTATGTCTTAAAAGAATACTATAAAATCACTAAACAAAAATTCTAATGAGTGAGCTGGAGAGATGGCTCATTGGTTAAGAGCACTGACTACTCTTCTAGAGGTCCTGAGTTCAATTCCTAGCAACCACATGGTGACTCACAACCATCTGTAATGGGAGCAGATGCCCTCTTGTGGTGTGTCTGAAGATAGCAACAATGTACTCATATACATAAAATAAATAAATCTTTTTTTTTAAAAAAAGTTAAAGCATTAAGACAGTATGTTGTAGCAAATACAACCTTAAATTTCTAAAATAAAAAATTCTAATGAGCAGTGTGTCTGGAATTTTGCTTAGTCTTTTGATTACTGCTGTGATATGGGAATCTCAATTCATCATTAAGATATGAACTTTTTGATACATACTGTTTAAGTCCTACCTCCTTGGGAATGGAGTAAGATAACATACATCCAGACAGGCAAAGAGAAAGCCCACTCAGGAAGGAAGGTGCTCTCCTCTCATTGTGCAGAGGAGGGCAAGAGCTGAGCAGATGGTTTAGTTGACTTAGTGATAAACCACAGTGAGGACCTTGTGTGCAACTGTAACCCAGGATACATAGTTTCCACTTTCTGTCTTGGTGTTGATGTCTGTTTCCTGAGAGGTAAAGTGGCTCTTTAGCTCTGATCCTTAGTCGTGAAGGACACTGGAGTAAGACAAATCTGCACCGTACCCTCACTTCCTTTTCATTCTTCAACACTTCATTGTGGATAACAGTATTGTAAGAACATTAAAATTAAAGTTCTCCCCAAATCATTTCCCCATGGGAGCATCACTATGGCAGGAAAACTTGGCAAGAGGATTTAGTTAGCTGGTACGGAGGGCTCAGCGGTGGTGCGGCATTAAGCATGCGTGTTCTTCCTGCAGAGGACCAGAGTTCAATCCTAGCATCCACATCAGGTGGCTACATGGCATGGACACCCTCTTCTGGACAATGTGGTCACCTGTACTCACATGTCCACAAACACACACAGGCATACACATGCACATAATTTTAAAATAAAATCTTTTTTAAAAACTAGAACCAAATTTCACTTTGAATATTTATACAAAATATTAAATAACATACTAAAAGATCATACTAAAAGGAAAATGTACCTGGTAGAATTTTTTACCAGAAATGTAAGAATGATATAATATTGTAGGGGACAGACAGATAACAAACTAGTATTTTGTATGGAATTCTCTAAAATAAAAACACTATATGCATGAAAAGGCATTTGAGAAAATCTAGTGTTGGTACTAACTTTCCTACTAGCTTCTTAGTTTGACATTTTAAAATTAAAAACTGAAGCAATTACCTAAAAGAGATCTTTTACCTAGATTTACCAATTAATATTTCACATTTTCTGTCTCCTCTTTGTCTGCTTGTATGCATCTTAGTTTATTTTAAATAGATTGTTAAAAAAATAAATCATATAATGACAAGTGATGACAAATTTTTTTAGTCAGTATATGTTTCCTCAGAACAAAGACCTATTTATGTATATCCAGAATTCTGTTTTCACAAAGACTGTAAGTAGCATCTTAAAGAGATGTCAGACTGTGCAGTCTTAAATTATGAAGCTAAATGTACCTTTCCATACTTTTACAATACTTTATTTAACCTAACAAAGTTAGCTAAACTGTTGTTAATCAGGAAGTAGGTGTTTCTGGTGAGTCAGATTTTTCAGGCGAGTAACAAATAGGACAGGATTAGTGCTGCCTGCCCTCACACGTATGCATGCCTGTCCTCGACAATATGTCTCAAAACTAAGAGCGCCAAAATCAACAGTGGCTCCAATGGTTGAGGCAGAAGGACTCCTTAACAAATAGCCCTTGAGCATGTTAAATATACACGGGGGTACTCTTCTACCCTGAGGCTATAGAAGTAAACCGAACATAGCTTTTTTTTCCTCAGAACTTATATGCAAAAAAAACCAAGGGAATTTTAGTGTCAGAAGGAAACTTTTAAGTAGATAAATTTAGTTTAGTTGGCTGGGTAGATGTCTTAGATGGTAATGTGTTTGTTCTGTAGGCATGAGGACCTATATTCAATCCCAGAAACCTTTTTTAAAGAAAGCTGGGCAGGTGTATATTTTATCCACGATGGAGACAGAGACAGGTGGATTCCTGAGCCTAGCTCCACGTTTTCTTGATTCCTTGATAGTTCGATCATTGGATTTCACTTAAAAAGTGGGAGCGTTCAGATTTTAGAACAGTAAAACTGTTGATTCTCTAGCCTCCTTTCTGATTATTTGGTTCTCTGATAGTGAAGGTGGAGTTAAAGCAGACAGAGGAGCATTGTGCCCACCTCCGTCTGCAGGAGGCTGTTTCCTCCCTAGAGCTGTGGTTGGTGACTAGATGCCGGAGACGTTCTACATAGACCAACACCAGGGCAATGGAAAGCTTTTGATTACATCATGCAATAACTGTGACACTGAATCGTATTGAAAGGAGGCAGTCATCATTCCTTGCAACACTCAGGTCCATGTTTTCAGTGCTTGTAAAGAGCAACTTACATACTACAGGAAAGAATATCAACTGTATGAACAGGATTGTGGAAACTCCAGTTTACTGATTTGCAGAACAGGACCTCTTACTCATGTGGTTCAAGAGATTGTGCAGCTCAGATACTTGGCCCCACAAAGCTGCTGGAGGATGCAGTGTGTCATCCTCCTTAGGCCCTTTCCAGGAAGAGAGGGAGAGGAAGGACAGGAAGGGAGGGAGAGGTGTACTGGTAGTAGTTTGACTCTTGAATGACAGCATTTTAACTTTTGTAATCACTATTATCAGAGAATATTATAAATACCCAATTCTTCAAGGCTTTCTGTAGAAATCATTGTTTTCATGTAAACACAGTCTTACTCATCCTTTTTTTTTTTTTTTTTTTTTACAGTCATACCCGATGGTATTGCAGTATCGACCACGAATTGATTTTGGGTAGGCCCAGGCCCAGGCTGCACTGAATGAATCCTGCACTATTTGTTTACTCGTCGACAGATTGCACAGTGAATGGTGTGTGGACTGGAGAGACACAGTCTGATTTTCAGCATGCACATAAGGCCATTGTCTGTCTCTAAGTTGTCAGTGTCCTTCCTGTTCTGTCTATTAGGAGCGATCCAAGTGCCCTTCTGCTACTGACCATCTGCATAAGATATCCGTGCCGTCTAGGTGTGCAAGGCGCGGCCGAAGTGAGTTAGGTCTCCAGCCGTGACTCTGCTTTCTCAGTGTTTTGCTTGCCTGTTGCAAGATTGTTCTAATGTTACTTACACTAGTAAAATGGCTCAATCCTTGTGGTGTTGCAGTTTTCACATACTTAATACTTTTATTCTTATTAAAATAGAGTACTGTACAAGAACCTAGTATAATTATATCTTGAAATTATTTTGTATAAGAATATATTTAGAAAAGTGGTTTCTGAGCCACTGTCCTATTCTTGGTAAACTTTTATGTAAAAAAGAATAAACCAAAAAAAAAAAAACCAAAATGCCAGCTTATTCTTGAGTGTACAAGTCTTTTGTGAAGAATTCCAGTTATTTTTTGACCAGAGCACATTGCAATTGGAGATGTCCTAAATGTCTGGGTAGTCTAACATTGCACAGGAAATCGTGTTAGGCCTTCATGTTGAAACATATGTGTCTTGGACAACTGAAGTTCATAATGTTGGCAGCTGATCATATCGACTTCTAATAAAATAAATGTGTAAGTACATTAATGTTTGTTACTGTCTTAGGCAAGTGAGTGCTGTCTAGCCAATGTCGTGTGTACATCATTGTATCATTGATGCCATTTTATGAAAGCATTGCTTTTTAAGTTGGCCTTAGGTGTGTATTGTGGAATGCAGAGGCTTATATAAGGTGATTTTTAAATTCTAGGATTTTTAGATAACATTCACCCTTTTATGGATTTCCAAACAATCTCAGATTGTTAGCTGCATATCACATTTCCAAACCATGTGCACAAAACAAAATAAACACCATGTAGTAGATTAATATGCTAACCAAAATTAGTGGTTTGGGAATACTGTTATTTTAAATACTGTAGCAACCAGGGGATATGGGGTTATTGTTTTGACTGAGTTCGTTAAAGGTGAGTGGATTAGAAGTCAGAACCATGCTGATGTCCTTGATGCTGGCAGTTGGGTTAAGTCTTCCATTCATTTTGAAATTAGCCGGCAAGTCAAACTCCTCTGCTACCTTACTACATGAAAAGCATTTTAGATCTTGTAAAATGCATAGTTGTTTCAAAACAGAAAAAGAAAACTGGACTATGTCTGCTGGTTGCTTTGAAACAAGCTAAGTCCTGAGAAGAAAAGGGGAATTAGGACAAATGGCGTGCTTTAGAAATCAGATAGCATCGTGTGATCCACAGGTCATTGTCACACCGTGAACACAGATGCTCATGTTCTCCAGGAAAATGTTTCACAAGTTAATGCTTCTGAATTCCAGAGCACTTCATAGACATGAACATCGTGCAGCTCTGAGAAACACACAAACTGCAACTCCATCATAATATGAACGACTGGAAATTTATTACTAGTTTTTTCTTACATTTTTTTCAAGTCAAAAAGTTTGTATTAGAATCACAACTTTAAGTTGTTGCGTTAGAAGGCCACAGCAGTTCCTTAACTTCATCTTGTTGGATTGGGTGTTTCTGGGAGAACTCACGAGCAGGGTTTAAAAGATATTTAAGTGTAGAGGAGACCATAATACTTGACCAAAAAACTGAATTTATTATCTAACTACAGAAATTATTTTGCTGTTTTGCAAAACCTGATTCCTAGTTATCCTTAAGAAAATTTTAAAGATCTTACAATTCATCACATTTAGATAAGTGTGTTTTCCATATGAAAGTTAATTAAGTCAAAATCAGTTTTGAAAGCCACATGCTTAGAGTTGGTTACTTGGCTCCTCAATCAAAATTTAAGGCCATAAGTGAATCTTATATACAAGGTCTCTTTAAATTTTGCTTGTTGCCTGATCACATGTAATGACTATTTTCCAAGGAATATGTAGGAAACAGTAACCAGAATACAGTTTTATAACAATACCTTCAATGTTATTGCACTGACGTTTTCACTGAGATGCAGTAGACTATGTGCCAAAGCATAGCGTAAAGGACGTCTGGCGTCATAGGGGAGGGAACAGGAGTAATGTGTTGCCAATGGAATTGGGCTTCTTCAGCCATCCTTGTCTGGTATAGTGTGCAGCACTTTCTTGTCTGGTGTGACATGCACTGAACTCCACTCAGTTACCCTTGTCAGGAACCCATAAACAGGCACTGTAGCCAGAGCTACATATACAGGGTTGTTAACTACCACCCCACACCCCGAGTTTAAACTCCAGGAATAACTGTCTGAATCTATAAACACAAGAGTGAGTCAAAGTTATTCTTCAGTCTGTTGTTCCTTAAGCAATAAACTAAAGAACTCCACTCCAGAAAAGATTTTGTTACCTGTTTTACCTGCCTTAAAAGTCAGACGGAAAAGGGCCGTGGAATCTTGGATATAAAGAATGCCTATGGTCGCTAAGAATCACTTTAAACTGCAGTAATGACATCACTTAATAGATAAAAAAATATCCCTTTCTCTAGATTAGAGATGAACTAAAAGCACATTGATGAGATTATATCAAGTCTGAGGTTTGGGTGACTAGAATTATGTTTTTTGACAGCTTTTAAATATTCTTTAGTCACTAGGCATATGCCCATACTAATATGCCACATTGTACAAATGTAGTGAGTTAGCACAAATGTTAATTTAAACTGAGTCCTTATGAAAAAAAACCAAGTGTGTTATTTAATATTGTGAACTGTTAAGCTTTACTGACAATATAAATGAAAGTGCCTCATTGCTGAAGTGCATTTCTGTTGTAGGTTTCCTGTATAAGTCTCCAGTTATCTGTACCTGTCTCGTAAATAGTTTCATATCGAAATGGGCACTTACAAGCTAAAATAATCTTTTTTAAAAAGAGTTTTGTAGGAATATAGGTATCACCAAAGACATTTTGCTGTTAGTAACCATGACAGAGACAGTTTGGACAGTCCAGAAGATGGAAACTGTTACATTGTAACCTGATTGTAAATAGGCAATAGTAACCTTGAGTGGTTACTAAACTGTTACCAATGAAGGCACTGCAGTGAGTTTTTCTTGGTGGAATGTGTGTCTTTCTTGCTACAGTGCGCATGTTTCCCTTCAGATCGGTTCACTGGTTTGGTTTGGTTTTTGTTCATTTTCAAGTAGGTCTTAGAAAATCCTCAAATATGAGAAAAATAAACAATACAAATATCCTCCCCATGAAAAATGGGAAAAATACAAACTTCGAAAAGAAAAATTGGAATTGAGATTTTAAATTTTAAAAAGCCTTTTATTTTGTGGAGGTGGTGTGAAGGAAATTCTACCAGCTTAGCTCCAGTGAAGACAAGTCTTGACAGGCCTGCCTGTGTGGACCACTGTACAACAGTCGGCTGGGTTTACAGATCGTAGAAGTGCTGACAATCCTGTGTGGTGTAGTAAATCCAGTGTGTGCTACTGGATTTACAGAAGTCCTTGTGTTGGTTTTAAAAGTGAAACTCCACAGGTGCCGGTGATTTCCTTTAAGTTTTTCTCAGCAGTCACTTCATTGTTACTAAACTTAGCCATGTGGCCAAATTTCCACAAAATGGAGCACTGAAAAATATCCCAGTGTGCCATTCTTTCTTTTGGTTGGCAGTTGACAAACCACCCCAACCGTCCTGTGTATGCAAGCACTGTACAACTGAGCCTCATCCCTCATCCATTCCTCTGATTGGGTAGGAATTCTCTAGAAAACTAAGCTTTATACCAGTAGAATATTGGTATGAATTTGCCAAAATTTCTTTTCTGGATTAGAATCACAAAACCTTGAAATGCGACTACCATTGTTCCCAGCCTGTGACTCCTCTGGAGCGCACAAGGGACATGTGTGCTAGGTCTGGTTCATGACAAACGGAGTCGTTGTCAAATGCACTACAGACTTAGAAGCGCTTCAAAGACCAGAATCACCAGTTGTTTGGAATTACTTGATATGCTTTGCTCAGTGTGTTTTAATTAAAAAACAACATGAAATTAAGAAACAAAATGTCTTTACACAGTAGGGACCTTATTGTTTTATGTTAGTGTTTCTCATGTCATTTGAAAGTGCTTCTCTTCCTGGAATATGATTTTTACAAGTAATAAGTTTACTGGCCATAGTATTTTCTAGTAGGACTAAAATGTTTGGGTATTTTTTAAGAAGATGATAAAAGTTATACTTCAAAATAATCGCTGTAAATTCTCATGTAACTGAATCTATCCTCAGGCCATTTTTTTCATGATACAAAACAGCAGTTTTCCAGAGAGATGTTAAATACTAGGTCTAGTTTTCTTCTGTTTTGTAGCACCTGCTAGAAAAAGAACCAACTGTAGCACAAAGGAAGACTAACCATTCTGGGGCCGTCTATACAAAGTCTAGTGTACTGACGTAAGTTGGAGCTGGAGCTCTCTCTACACATTCACATCCTTGGAGGTCAGCCTGGCTCTGTTGGAGGCCATTTTTCTTTTGCAGTCTTTTTCAGATGGGGTTGGGGGCCTAAGTGTCCTTATGAAGCTGTGGTCCAGGACAAGAGCGTGGGGGTGGGGGGGTATGTGTTCCTTCACTTTCCTGTGTCTGGCAACTCAACAGCGATCATTTCTGAGAATAGCCCTCGTGGTTATTAAATCTAGCACAGAATCTATTGTAAAGTTACGTTGCTAATTTTATTTTGAAATATGAACTATTTTAAGCTTTTTGTCAAAAGTGGTTAACATCTTAATACAAGTAAAAACCTTTTTGTGGTTGTAAGATTTAGCTTATGAATCATTCAAATTGAAGTGAAAGAATTACCAGGTCATTGTTAATGACTCAGTCTATTAAGAATCTATGTATTTTTGTAAAGGAAAAGCACTCGTAGATATTTAATCAGTACAAGGTCTATGTCTGATTTGCAGGAAGAAAATGCTGCTTAGAGATTCTCTTTAAATATTTTTTTATTTTTGTGCTCATATGTATTTTCCGTTGATCTTCTGAATGTTCTGTACAAAATTGTATGATTGTACTGTTGAGTTCGATACATTTTTTTTTAACTCTGGGCTTAGCTGTATATATTTGACCATGTTGAAAATAGTATCTTTGTTATTAAATTTTTGATTGCATATTTATTGTTGGCCTGTTAATGTTTACTTGATGTAGACCACTACCTCTGTTAAAAATGTTTTAGTGCCATTTCCAAAACAAGTTTTTTTTATTGGATATTTTATTTACATTTCAGATATAATCCCCTTTCCCCATTTGCCCCCACCCAGGAACCCCCATCCCATTCTCCCTGCTTCTATGAGGATATGCCCCCACCCATCCACCCACTCCCACCTCCCCACCCTCAAATTCCCCCACACTGGGACATCCAGCCTTCACTGGACCAAGCACTTCCTCACTTGCCTATGCCTGACAAAGTCATCCTCCCCTACATATACAGCTGGAGCCATGGGTCCCTCCCTATGTGCTCCCAGGCTGGTGGTTTTGACTCTGGGAGCTCTGCTTGGTTGGTATTGTTGCTCTCCCCATGGGGCCACAGACACTTTCAGCCCCTTCAGTCTTCTCTCTCACTCCTCCATTGGGAATCCCATGATCAATTCAATGGTTAGCTATGAGCATCTGCCTCTGTATATTTCAGGCT